AAAAAAAAAAAAAGCAATTGCCTAGCATGTGTGAAGTACTGGGTTCAATCATCAGCACCATATAAAAATAAACAAAATACAGGCACTGTGTTTATCTACAACTAAAAATTAAAAAAATAAATAAACTTTGTTCTAGGCACCCGGGTGCACATTTTTTTTTTTTAAGAGAGAGAGAGAATTTTTAAATATTTATTTATTTATTTATTTTTAGTTATCAGCGGACACAACATCTTTGTTTGTATGTGGTGCTGAGGATGGAACCTGGGCCCCACGCATGGAGTGCACTACCGCTTGAGCCACATCCCCAGCCTCTGGGTGCACATTTTTAATCCCAGCAATTTGGGAGATTTGAGGCATGAAGATAGGAAGTTCAAAGTCAGCCTCAGCAACTTGGTGAGGTCCTAAGCTACTTAGCACCAAGTCTCAAAAAAAATTAAAAAGGATTGGGGATGTGGCTCAGTGTTCAAGTGCCTTTGGGTTCAATCCCTGGTACCAAAACAAAAAACTAGACTTTTTATTTTGAATAATTTTGGATTTATAGAAAAGCTGTGAAGATAGTAAAGAGTTATATATCCATGACCAATTTCCTCTAATTTTGTACTATAGTGCATTTGCCTAAAACTTGGTACATAAATATAAAAAAAAATTTTTTTTTGGTGGTACTTACACATGCTAGGCAAGCACTAACTGAACTACATCCCTAACCCCTAAATTTCAAATTTTCTTCAGATTTCAACAGTTTTCCTATTATTTCCCCTCTCATACTGGGGATTGAAAGGGATGAGCTACTTCTCCATCTCTTTATTTTTCACTTAGTGAGATAAAGTATCACTAAATTGCCTAGGCTTGACTTCAATTGGCAATCCTCTTGCCTCTGCCATTTTGGGATTACAGGCCTATGTAACAATAGTTTTCCTATTATTGTCCTGTTAGGTTCCAGCACCCACCCAGTCCTGATTACCATATTACATTTAGTAGGTTTCTTTTGACTGGGAGGTACTGGGGATTGAACTCAGATGCACTCAACCACTGGGCCACATCCCCAGCCCTGTTTTGTATTTTATTTAGAGACAGGGTCTCACTGACTTGCTAAGCTTTAAACTCATGATTCTCCAGTCTCAGCCTCCC